CTGAAAGGTTTCTGACTGAAGCCACTGAAAGCGGCCAGCATAGTGTAGGTTTGCGTTTGTATTCATTTGGTGTGTAATTTAAAAAATATAGCTGCTGCAACCCTGAACCCTGCCTCCAGCATCCTCCTTGAGCCCGGGTAGCACATGCTGTGATTATTAAACCACTGTGCTTGAAAGTGCAAAGATGAAAGATGTGACTCTTCTAAGACAGAGTATTTTACAGCAAGTCAAATGAGGTAGAAAGGCTTTCGTCAGCTTATAGCAATTATAGTCAAACACAGGTTCATTTCACTTGTTTAGTAGTAATGGTTTAAATCCCTCCATATGATCCATACATTGGTTAAGGGGGGAGCTTATAAATGTTTACAAATTACTGAAGAATAGTGTGAAAATGAAAAAAAAACAAAAACTCAAAAGATGTTTATTTATAAATTTACAAGACAATAAGTGGAACTTATTCATTTTTAATAACCACTACCTTAGCAACTGTTAACAAATAATATTTTGAGGTCCTAAACTGTTAAACACAAACATTGGCTCTCTGAGTTTTTTCAGCAAAAAACTATGTATTGCTTTAATTTAAGATAATATTATGCTATACTGTGAATTGCTATTGTACAGATGTTCACAATTTATGAACATGACTGTTTACTTGCAGGTTTGGATATTATGAAATAAGATTATTATTATAAGTACATTTCAGAGTTTTACTGAAAGATTACACTTAATCAACATTTTGCGCATCAGACAACAAACTAGCTACGCAGACAACACCCAGATCTACTGAGCTCTCTGGCCTGATGACTACAGTCCCATTAACTCTTTATGTCATTGCCTAAAGTCAATAAAAGACTGGATGAAGGAAAGTTTTCTCTAACTGAATAAAGAAAAGATGGAGGTTCTTGTTTGTGGTAGTAAGGAGCCAAGACTTACCGTCAGTGCTCATCTTGATGCCAGTGTCACGCCTCCTGATTCTCAGACGGACTCTCATATCATCAAGGACTCAACTTCCCAGAATCCTTCTGTCAGTCATGAGACTTCTCCAACCAATCACAAACCCCCCAGCAGATCACAGTCACCTGAATTCTAATCACCCCACCTGTTGAACTGTATATATACTAGTCAGTTTGGTTCATGTCTTTGTGAAGTGTCACTATTGTTCAGTCAGTTCATACTAACCATTTGTTCTCCTGACTGCTGCTCTGTGTTTGGCCTTGCTTTGTTTTCTCCCGTTACCGATTCTCGCTCCTCCAAAGACTTCGTTGTTTCGTGTACGTGTTTTCTCTGGTTACAACCCTCGTCTGTTTTTTCGACTCTGCTTTCGTCTTGTCCTTTGAATTGTGTTTGGCTATTCTGGTTATTGATCTGGTGTTAAACCCTGCTCATCTTCCTTTGAATAAACCTTTATCTTTAAAATCTTTTATCTGCGTGTGTCTGATCCGACAGCCAGAGCTCTAAGGGCTAAAGATGAAGACAGAAATCTTGGAATAACAAATCATTTAGATCTGGAGATAACGCCATGTAACAGCGATGTAAAAGAAATAACAAAAGCAGCCCTTCACCATCTCGACAACATTTCAGTGTTTAAAACTTTCATGTCACAACACAAGCTAGAAATACAAATTCATGCATTTATCTCCAACAGGCTGGACTACTGCAGTGGTCACTTTACTGTCTCAAAACCACACTCAGACAGTTACAGCTTATTCAGAACACGGCTGCTAGAACACGAGTAAGAATTACGAGATCTGAGAACATCACTCCAATCCTTCAGTCAATGCACTGGCTACCAATTAAGTACAGATTAGAAGTGTTTTAATTTTTACCCGATTTTTCTCCCCAATTTAATCGTCTCCAATTCCACCCGCTAGTTAGGACTCCCCCAATCACACGATGCTATCAACGCTAGGAGGGTGAAGGCTAACACAGGCTTCCTCCGAGACCTGTGAAACCAACCACCGCTTCTTTTCGAACTGCCGCTCACGCAACGTCACTGGACAGCCGAACGCGCTCGGAGGAAAGCGCCAACCGCCAGATCTGTTACGTCAGCTAACAGACGCCTGCGCTGACTAGCCTCGCGCTGAGTGATGGGGGGAGAAGGAGGGGCCATCCTACCCACCCAGAGAGAGCGAGGCCAGTTGTGCTCTCTCGGACTCCCGGCTACGGACGGCTGTAGCATCACCAGGGATCGAATTCGCGATCTCCTGATGAGGAACAACGCTTAGACGGTTGCGCCACTCGGGAGCCCAGAAGTGCTTCTAATTGTATATCAGTTACTAAATGGCCTTGGACCAAAATACACTGCTGATCTGCTGGACGTGTACGAATCCAATAGGCCTCTCCGATCACTCCGGTCAGTTAGTACAACCCAGGATCAGAACCAAACAGGGTAAGGCAGGAGGGCACACAGGCTGTGTACAGGAAGGGGATGAGCGGACGCATTGTAGAAATCCTCACATCTCACAGCATCAAGTTGGGTGCTGTGGAGGGGCACCGACTAAGTAGAATTATAAATCACTGTGTTCTGTTTCAACTTGAGAAATTACAGCTCAGCATTATCTTCTTATTTTTAATAATGAGCTAACATAAAACATCACAACACTACATGTGCTCACCTTGTAAGTCCTACCAGTACCTTTCCAATACTCCCATTCTACCCACTATGTTTATGACCACCATTATTCCTCTTAACTGTTGTAGTTGTATATATATTTATGATACTAACAGTATAAAGCTATACATGTTTAAAAAGGTCTGTACAGTAGAATTATCAGCACTGTTTCCTCAGTTGTGTCACTGTTTATGAAGGTGTGGTCAGATTTCACACAGACTCTGTCTGATGATGTGATGAAGCAGTGTTGGTTTCTGTTTTACACTATGTAACACAAACAGAGACCCCATATAGAACAGCACTGCTGAGGTCCCACATCTGTCAGCAGCAGCCCAGCTGTTAGAATGCAGTTCTAACCTATTAGTTTATGCGAAGTTCTCCTGCTTAGCTGGGATTAAAACCTGCAGCCACACTTTCAGCACCACTGAGGATCTAATATTGTCTCCTCTCAGAGTTCACTGTCCAACATGATGCACACACAGAGGAATAGATCACAGCCTGTTACTTACGATTTGTGCCTCACTGACCGCGGTCAGAATGATCTGTTTCACTTTTGATGTAAAGGGATGAAGGAGAATATAAGCGATTAAGCCTGGATGCGACTGTGACACCATGACTGCACGTATGTTCTTTAAAATGACTTTATGTCAGTTTGATTGAAGTTTATTTGTATTCTGTATAGCATGAATTGTCTGCTTTACATACTGACTAAACTGTGGTGTCATCAGACACTTGATTGTCCTTCATTACACTGTTAAACTCAAAACTGGTACACATGTATTTTTGGACATTCCATGTTAAACTTTGATTTTTTTAATGATCAAATAAATGCAGACACGATGTAACAATGTAATTTACACAAATTAACTTGGTAACACTTCCTATGAATCCTGTATACATAATACCTTATAAATGCATTTATCAGACCTAATATGCCAACACCTTGTAGGAACAAGCACAAGTCTGTATAGCTGCTCTGATGTAGTGAAAATTACATGCATAACACTTTATAAAGCACGATCACATGACTTTCTAAAGTCAGACTCCATAATGCGTTATAATATCTGTTTGTTAGAACACTGTAGACACTTATGTTGACACTCTGTAACACTTTGTAGAGCGTTAAGCCAGGTCATTGCGGCTTTCTGAGGTTTTTAAAGTCTTCTAAATATTACAGATATTTAATTTCAGTACTCTATAACTTACAGAGCACTACAGCTGCTCTTTACAGGCCTTCAGTGACGTGAGAGTCTTGTGTAAAATGTGTGCTCAGCCTCATCTGGTGATGCAAGGCTGGTTTGCAAAGCTAGCTTAAAGCTACTGCTAACATTAGCTGTATTCCTAAACAGGGCAGCTGGAGTTTACTGTTATTGTCTAATGGCTAACATAGAGCAGCTCTCTGTGCTGCTAACCATTTAGCTTTGGTTACGAACCGCTTACAGTCTAGCATCGTAGCCAGCTAGCCTAACATAACAGTTTCCAGTTAGCTAAAAATAAACTCTAGTAAATTCATGCAACTTCAGAAGCTTGTAGTAGTGAGTTATAGTGCATTACAACATTCATTTAACAGTGGCTTTTAAACAGATGTTATAGTGCGTTATGGAACCTGATATTATAAAGCCATGTACTATTATTATAATTATCATTATTATACATGTTGTTTGGCTGAGCTAGAGCTGTAGGGGTAATGGGGAGGTCATGGTTGTTAACTGTATGGTTCAAAGATCAAAGTAATAGTCACACTTTATGTTTATCACCCCTTTGAAGTACATAGGTCACCTGACACAGACCAAACACAGACTATTGTTACTGTAAAGAGACTTTTATGTATTTAACATTTATGTGTATCAGTACTTTCAATGAACAGCTGAATAACTAAATGAATAAATGAGAGGATTAAAGACTAAAACCTTTAGGAGACAGTCAGACTACATCAGGGCGTAAATATTAATATCTGCAAACATTTTCAGCTGTTATGAACTACATAACTTAGTCAACTGTTCATATCCTACCTTTCATATTTTGCAGGTGAAATGGATTTATTACTGTTCTTTGTGCTGCTTCTGGCTGCTGGACTTCAAGGTAACAACACTAAAATAATTACTGTACACAGAAAGTTCATTTCACAATGAATAATCACACACATTGTTATTGCTGTTATTAATTACCAAATGATGTCCTGTTGAAACGAGCGCACATGGCTGTCACGCCTCCTCTGCTCGTTTGCTCTGTCCTGCAGGCTCACTTGAGTCTATGAACTGTGTGGAGAACTCCATTTCCCATGAGTCAGTGGGGAATCACCTGACTCCACAGTCATCACCTCCGTCCAATAGAATCTCTTTCTAACGCTCCACCTGACTGGAGTTCTGAGTTCACACACCTGTTTCCTATTTCCTGCTGTGTGTCAGATGGTTTTGCACTCAGGCTTTAGTTCAGCTCAGTGTGAAGTGCTGCTAACTCCTCTGTTGTGTACTGAGTGTTTCCTGGTCTGTAAGCTTACCTGTGTCACCTGTGTATCACCTCTGACTTCTGTCTCTCCGGTTCTGCCGTTTTTACTGGATTGCTTTGATCTTTTGCTGCTGTGTTTTTGAAGCTGGCCTGTTTACTGGATTCTCCTGATGTTCCTTTTGTTTTGGTTTCTGTGCTCTCTGGTTTTGACCTCGGCATGTTCTGACCACACCCTTTGTGTTAATCACAAACCCTCAAGTAAAGTTTACCATGTTTTTCAATCTGTGAGCATCTGATCTGTTTCAACCATAACAATGGAAAAGTGCAGATAATACCAGATTTGAGGAATACAAATTTTACCCCAAACTGTGAACCTATACATGATGAAGTCTATTAATTTTTGATAAAATACTGTAAGATCATTTTAAGAAGCAGTGTTAAAATCTCCTGATGGTAAGTTAATGTGATTATTTTCATTGTCTGACTAATCGTTACTGCCTGATGTTCCTGCAGGTCTCCATGTTGAAGGCCCCTCCGGTCCTCTGGTGGTCCCGCTGGGGGGCGCTGTGCTGCTGCCGTGTTCTGCTCAGGACCCCCTCCCTCTGGAGGGTCTCAGAGTGGAATGGAGCAGAACAGACTCAGAGTCTGTAGTGAACGTTTTCCAGCAGAAAGAAATCAGAGCAGAGCTGCAGAGTCAGAGCTTCAGGGGCCGAGCCGACTTCTTCCCAGAGGAGATATCGAGAGGGAACTTCTCCATCTTACTCAGTGACGTCACACCAGAAGATGCTGGAGTTTACAGGTGTGGAGTTTCCTCCAGTCAGGACTACAGAGAGACCACAGTGGAGATTAAACTGAGTGGTGGGTAACTATGGTCTCTGTAATCTGTAATTGAGCTAAACTTAAATAATATCTTGACATTTTAATGCAGTGTATAAAATACTTAGACTGCCTATTGAAGTCTGGCCCAAAAAGATGTTATGTATTCTAATAGCAGCACACATTTTATAAATCTTGTTCACTGTACACAGTTTTACTTGTATGCTACAGTGATAGACACTTACATTGAAAGTAGTATTAACTCAAGTAGCTGTACATACATAACAATAACAGTGTTACAATGTATGTTGTGTCCATCTTCTCTGTCTGAACTGTTCCAGAGCGGTTGGTGGTGAGGGGAGCGCTCCACCCCATCTTCACCTCAGTGGGTGAGGAGGTGATACTGAGCTGCTCTGTAGACTCACAGATTCCAGTCCACCAGCTGGAGGAAGTGACCTGGAAAAAATACCCAGACATCCCAGTTCTGCTCTTTCAAGAAAACCAGACCTTCTCAGAGTTTTCTCACGAGAGCTATCGAGAACGAGCCGAGTTCTTCACGACTGAAATCCCTCGAGGAAACTTCTCACTGAGGCTGAAGGACGTTAGGATGGAAGATAAAGGACAATTCATCTGTGAAGTCCACACTGCTGACCTTTCAGGACAGACCACAGTGATCATCCAGCAAATAGGTAACAGTGGAGCCTTAACTTTAACACTTAACTTTTCTTTTTACTCACAGATCAATAACTGGGATTTGTATTTAAACAACATCACAAATATGTGTTGGATCAATAAACTACTGTCTAAAATATGAGTGTGTCAAAAATGGCCTGTTCCATAATGTAACAGTAAAGAAATCCTCCTGATATTCCTTCCTGTGGGAATATCTTATGATTAAGTCGAACGTTGTTAAGGTCAGGAGCGAAACTGCACATTGAACTTACCAGAAAATATTACAGCATGCTACACACGCCAGTGCCCCCAGTTTGGGCGTTCTGTATTTGATGATAAGAGTAGTGAGATAAATATTGTTCACTTTATTGACTCTCTGAAGATCATCTGTAGTGAAGAGATCCATGTTGGTTATGGCCTTAACAGAATCCCACAGCACTGTAGAGTTCATAATAGTGCTATCACAGTTAATGCGTTAGTGACGTGTTAACATGATAAATAACTAACCTCGCTACTCCATTCTCCTAGTTTGACCCTTCGAACCCCTACATAGTAGTGCAAGCTGTAGCCCTGTATGATGCGATGATAGAATGTGTGATTTTAGCCTCTCATTCAAATACAGCTTTAAAATGTCTTTTAAAAACATGAAAAAAGTTGTAACAGTTTGTGCACCCCTGGTCTAATTGCATGTATTTATGTTATTTACACTCTTTTATTTATATCATCACATTTTAATGCACATTTACTGTTTATGTACTGAATTTAACATTCAGTCATCATCTTAAACCGCTTGATCCAACTAGGGTTACGGTAGCAATAGGGAAAGCAAAGAAGCCCAGATGACCCTGTTCCCCCCACAACTAACTCCAACTGATTCTCCCAGGCCAACTTGGAGATATAATCCCTCCATCGGGTCCTAGGATGATCTTTGTGGTCTCGTCCCAGTAGGCCATGTCTGGTAAACCTCGAATGAGAGGCAGCCAGGGGGCATCCTGATCAGATGCCTAAACCACCTCAACATGCTCCTCTCAATGTAGAGGATTAGATCCTCCTGGATGACCGAGCACCTCACCCTATCAAGTACAGTGTAGACCACCACCCTGGGAAGAAAGCTCATTTCTGCCGCTTGTTTCCGTGATCTCTTTCTTTCAGTCAATACCCAAAGCTCATGACCATAGGTGAAGGTTAGGATGTAGACTGGTAAACAGAGCTCTGCCTTAAGGCTCAGCTCCCTCTTCACCACTGCAGCCCAGTAATGCCACTGCATTACTGCCGCTGCCTGTCCCAGCCTGCAGCTGATCTCACGATCCCTCTTCCCTTCACTCGTGAACAAGACCCCAAGATACTTAAACTCCTCCACCTGGGGCAGGTCCTTTCCCCTTACCTGGAGTGGGCATGAAATCCTTTTCCAGGCTAGGACCATGGACTCGGACTTGGAGGTGCTGATCTGCATACCAGCCGCTTCACACTGCTCTAGTGAGCGCTGGAGGCATCCATGTGGTGGAGCCGAAAGGACAACATCTTCTGCAAATAGCAGAGACGCCACCCTCCGGCCTCCACCCATAATGCTCTCCTGACCTTGGCCACGCCTTGACAAGGCACAACCTTGGTAGAGTCCAACATGCACACTGAACAAGCGTGACTTAATGTATACGGACACAACTCTCACTCTGGGGGTACAGAGACCAAATGGCCCAGAGTAGTGGCCCCAGCACCCAATACTCCCAGAGGACCTTCCACAGAATATAAGCCTTCTCCACGCCCACAAAACACATGTAGACTGGGTTGGCAAACTCCCATGCCCCCTCAACAATACACGCAAGGGTGAAAAGCTGGCCCATTGTTCCACAGCCAGGATGGACTCATTGTACTTTCTCAATCCAAAGTTTGACTATCGGTCAAAATCTCTTTTCCAGCACCTTGGCATAAACTGTCCCAGGATGGCTGAGCAGTGTGATACCCCAGTAATTGGTACACACTCTCCAGTCCCCTTTCTTAAAAATAGGGACCACCACCTGGTCTGCCAGTCCAAGATACTGTTCCTGAGGTCCATGCATCATTGCAGAGGCGTGTCAGCAATGACAGCCCCACAACATCCAGATCCTTAAGCATTTCAAGGCGAATCTCTTCCACCCTCAGTGCCTTGCCACTGAGGAGCTTACCAACTACCTCAGTGGCCTCTAACAGGGAAATCGAGTCCGACACCCCACAAGCCTCTGGCTCTGACTGCCAGGCATGTCTCTAAGGTTTAGGAGTTCCTCAAAGTGCTCCTTCCACAGACCAACAAAAAACTATGAACAGGGTTCATTCAGACTCCATGTCCTCCAACTCCTCCAGCATGAGAAACGTTCTCCCGGAGTTGGAAGTTAAAATCATTCCGAACAGGAGACTCTGCCTGTTGTTCCCAGCACACCCTCACTCTTTGGTCTACCAAGTCTGACCACCAGTCTTCCCTGCCATTTGACCCGATTCAACTAAAGGTAGTGATCGGTTGACAGCTCAGCACCTCTCCTCACCTGTGTGTCCAGAACATAAGGTTCCAGGTCAAATTAAATGACAACAACGTCGATCACTGACCTTTGACCCAGCTCTGGTGCCAAATACACTTATAAACATGCTTGTGTTCAAACTTGGTGTTTGTTATGGACAATCCATGACTAGCTCATTAGTCCAATAACAATTCACCATTCGGGCTAGCCGGGGGCTTGTGAGTTTGAAAGCAGTTTGGAGCTGCCTGCTAACCCTGTTGTAACCTGCATGCTCTGAATTTAACATTACAGAAAAACAATAAAAGATGTGGCCGTGCAAAATGGCACACATTATATTTTTTTATGTTATATACTGAGCCCAGACTGAACACACTGCAGGCACTGCATTCTGCCTAGCATCGCAAATAAGTTTTAACTGTTTAGTCTGGGTTTCCTTTTTTTCTTTCTTTTCTTTTCTTTTCTTTTATTACTGCATCAGAGAAATGAAAAATAAATATTTGCTAAGATGAAGTTTCTTTTTAGAGTCAGTAACAGTGATACAGTGGTCATCTTTAACTTTTCTGGACAACATATTCTGTAAAAGTCTAATCAGGACTGCAGTGATTAACGCTTCCTCTAGTGGAGTCCAGAGCCTCAGTGTTTAATTAAGCAATACAGCATTAAAGTAAAATATACCACCACAGATAATTATGGCTGAAGTTTTCTGGGCCAAAGTATGAAATGCTAATATATCTGAGTGGAAAACGTGCTTCAATTACAATAATCTCAACTTAAATCTCAGATATGCTGCATCTTTATCGAGTTTAAGATGAAACTGTCTTTATTGGATCTAAGATAAACCTCACTTAAACCGCATCATCATTAGTTTTAAGATGAATGTCAGTTAAACTGTGTCTTTATCAGGTTTAAGATAAACCTTAGTTAAACAAAGTCTTTATCGAGTTTAAGAAAAACTGTGTCTTTTCCGGGTTTAAGATGAACCTCTGTTAAACCGCATCATTATCAGGTTTAAGATGAACCTCAGATAAACCTGATATACAGCACCATCTAGTGGCAGATGTGTAGTTTTTAAATTACACAACATTTGGGTTTAGTTTAACCTGCAGCTTCTGAGGAAACAGCAGTGGAGCTTAAAAACCCATGTGACTCATTCAGGTTTAAACTTGGGTTAAACTCTAAACCACAGCTAAGCTAATGACAGTGAAATTACCCCTACAAGTCCTCAACAAGGGTTTAAAATCTTTCTTCTTCTCCCTCTTAACTCCAAGCCTAAGGTTAACACTGCCCCCTAGCGGTCGGTGACATTAACTGCAGTTTGTCTCCACTTTGTTGTTGGAGCTGCTGTGCTGCTTCTCCTTATCTCCCTCTTCTCCACTGATAAGTGGGGAAAGTTTGTAACTGGAGAAAATCCTGCAGTGAGAGGAACAGCTGCTCTTCTCCTCTCACTGGATGAGAGGAGTAGCTGATCCTCCACCTGCTGGAGTTTTACTTCATGTTGTAAGAAGTTCTGATGGTGAGCGTCAGCAGGAGATCTTTACAAAAGTCTCCATATAAGCTTTAAATTATGAAACTAAGAGAGACTTAAATAAACAACAAACTCCAACAAACTCCAGTCACAGAGGAGAAAGACTGCAGCAGAACTGGATTAACTCTGAGTGACCCTGAATATTCTGTGTTTCAGAGCTCAGTTTGATGTTAAATGGTGTGAAAAGGTTGAGATTTTAATGTCTTCATCGTCTCTGCTGTGTTTTCTTTTGAAGGTTTCTCTTCTGTCCAGATTTGCATCCTTCTGCTGTGTTTCACTTCACTAACACTCGCTGTCGGACTCGGAGCTCCAGTTTTTATCTTTCTACACAAACGAGGTACAGAGTGTCCTGAAGATTCAGTGAAGTCTTTCATTCCTGTTTTAATATTATATGATTAGAGATGTTCGTTGGTGTTTATTTTGATTCTTAATTCATTTATTGGTTTTACTGTTAATTAGTGACAGGCAGTAACTTTTCTAACAGTTATTTAACAGTGGAAAAAAAAGCCTTTTTCAAACAATGAAAGCTGAAAATATTAATCTAAAAACTGAAAATGTGAAATGTTTCTTCCTCTTCAGAAACAGACAGACGAGCGATGATCATGTATATTTTTCTGGCCTTTTCTCCGAACATTTGCATGTTCATTGCTTTTGGACTGTGGTCAACAGAAGGTGAGTTCAGGAACATCTCTTTTTCTGAATTCCAACAATGTGCATGATAAGATATGAATAATTTAATTCTCTACATAAACGCTGTACTGTAATGAAGTGAAAGAGAGATCTCTCCAGTCTTTATAGTCTGCAGAGAAGCCATAAGGTGTTTTAAGTTGGAAGTTACTAAAATTTTAATCTGCACAGATGTGACCAATGATGTCATCGATGACATCACAAAATATTTTCCTTTTTTCATTTGATTTTTGTTCGCTACTTTACATCAGAGTGTCTTTATGTTCCATAATGAGGTGAAAGATGACAATATACACATTTAACTGACCCTCTTCCTCTCTGCGCTCTCCTTCTGGACAAATCGTATGCAAATTAACCAAACTAACAGTCAGACCATAACAGTCTTAACTGATTGTCTCGCCCACAGCTACACAGTGAGATTCAACACTGAAACGCACTCTGAGCTGGAGAGAAGAAATCTCTTTATTACAATAGATATTTTTTTTATTTTATAGACAGTTTAGGCTGCTTTGGGGTTCAGAACTGCTCAATATCTCTGCATCTACTTTTTGTCTTTATACCTCAACCTGTGTGTGTTTTTAGCCTCACGCCCATAAAGCAGTGTAACCTCTCTAAAACAAGCACACTGGTCTTTGCTACACTCCAATTATTATAAAGTTCAGAACTTTTATTAATAATATTACTATTATTATTAGCAGTTGCAATCCTTAAAGCAAGGGCTGCTGCAGCCCTCAGTGCCTCCACTTCCTGTCCATAGATAGTAATAATTTTTTAATTTTTTGTGGTGTTCTACATCTAATGATGAACAGAAGCTGTTACTCTTAATGAACGTGATAAACGGAATGAAAGAGTGACTCACTGTTTCTTTTAAGGCTTAAATTCTGAAGTGTTTGTGTTGATCTACAGGATTTCTCAGTGAGGTCATCATATGTTCAGCTGTCAGTCTCGCTCGCTGTCTGATGTTGATGAAGACTGCTCCTTATCTCAACACACTTCCAGGTACGAGTTTAAATCAACAGTTAAGACTGAAATAAGATCAACTCCAGTCTGGTAGAGGTGCAGTCCTGCACACACTAATACGTTTTATAAAAAAATACAATAAATATGTAGGTGACAGTAAAAACTCATGAAAGTGAGTGAATAACACACCAATGTGGTTTACAGAGCGCTGGGTGAGAGAAGTGAAGACTCTAAGTGCTCCACTTTATTACACAATCATAGCAACTGTTGTTTTCTCAGGTGAGCAGAACAGTTTCTACATTCCAGTGTTTGTATTTCTGAACCTACAAACTGAAGATGATCCCTCTTCTGTCTGAACTGTATTACAGATGTGTTTGTTTTGTTTGTTGTTCTTTTTTAGTTGAGTTTGCTAATCGAACAGGAATACAGTATTATTTCTATAATAGGGATTTACGCCTTGCGGAAAGAAGTATATTAGTGATGGCTGCAGCAGTGTATGGAATTGGGTCGATCATTTCAGGTAAACAAAATATTAAAAAAAAAGTTTGATCTCATCATTCATAAACACATCTTAACCAATATTAGGAGAGCATATATGATATTTCTTTTAAATTAAAGGAAAAGTTCAACAAAATTCCTGTTTACATGATTTTCCACCCAAATGCAGTAAATCAGCCAAAACATGTCTGATTTTGCTTCTTGAGTTCAGAGCTGGAGATGCCAGGTTAACAGTGATAAACACTGGGAGTGAATCATCTCCAATTTCCAGAAATACGTGACAGAACCTTCACTTCATCTGAAGTGGGGAGTTCCTCCAGATTTCAAGGACAAGCAGTTTTTTACAGGAATGTTATTTACAAAATAGTCTGTATTTTAAGTGAATTAAGCAGTTCTACTTAATTATCTAACGCACGTAAAGCTGTGACAGGACAAACCGCCAAATGTTTGATCAGTTTTGAAGTAGCTGCTTAATATGAGAACGAAATACTGACATCTGAAATATTTGTTTTTATTGATTTATTTATTTATTTTAGCCCTATTTTAACCAGTGAATGAGTGATTAGTAAAAACAGTTTGAGAGTGGTTTAGCTTACCTCTCCGCAAAGAAGCATCTCACTTAACAGAAGTCTGGGCTGAAGAACTGTGACAAAGAATTAATGTCAGAAAGGTACACAGTACAACACAATAAACAGTGTTAAACATTGTGTTAAATACAAATAGTGTTAAACAAGTACTTCACAATTTCACAGGTTTCAAATAATTAGAATAAGAATATTAACACAAATCTCCAGTCCAGAATGATGAATAGAGCTGTTGATGGTCCTATAATAATTGAGGAATCTAGAATGAGAGTGGTGATCAAACTGAGGCAGAGATTTTTATTTATAAATATGTATGTGTGTGTAATTATGTGACTGTAGTCTATTATTTATAATTTAAGTTTTTGTTGTTTCCAAAGGACTTTTCTACATGACTATGATGCCCATCTATGAAATATGGCAGTAACATAATCAGAGTCACCTCAGCTTAAAACAGCAGTAAACCAGCTGTATGTCAGACTGGATTATGTGAGAAGAGCCGGCTGACGTTTTATTCTTCTTTCTGACTGACCAGTTTCTGCCTTGCTGTGAACACGAGACACGATGCTCCACTAGCGTTACTTCATGTCACGTGATAGACGATGGGGCAGAGAGGCCGGTCATCAGGCCACACTTACAGGAAAACTCCCAGTGTTCCCAATGTCCAGTCCAGGATGAGGCTGAAAAACTACCTTAGCTAGCTAGAACTAGCGCTCAGTTTATTTTACTCAATTCTTTGGTGAATTTATTAGTTTCATGTTTTTTAAAACACATGAAGGACATTTATTGCTTAAATTTGATGGCCAAGAAATCCTGTGGATTTTGGCAAATGATAACTTTCCTAGCTAGCTAAGGTAGTTCTTTAGCTGGTCTGTTCAGTTGACCCTTAGGACCCTAGCACTATTAGGTGTGTTTTTTCCCCCACTTTTGTCAGTTCCTCTTTCAGTTGTTGTAACTCTAGTAATTATATGAGACAGCCTCATGTTGTGATTTTTTTTCCAGAAGATGTGGCTTCTCAAATATGTGATCACCTGAGATGTCAATGCCCACAGAGGTTTGATATTTTTATGAAACTGGACATGCTTTGATCAAAATTTTACCATCCCGGTGACTCAACACAGTCCAAAGTCCTTGGGGTAGACAAAGGCACGGTGCCCCCACCGCAGTCTCTCTAAAACAGGTGTTTCAGAATGTCTATTCCCTCATTCCACACAAATGCCATTGGCGTTGCAGCCTGTCATCTCTTGGGGCCACGTCTCGCCACGGCAGCTCCTCAACACACTCCGCTCCGAGCATGCTGCCTTGCTCTTACCTTTGTGGGACACTGAACTGCAGCTCTCTGGGCATTCTGTCCATTGGTTTGCTGGAGTGAAGGGGCAAGTGAGCTCTGTGTCCTCCTCTTGAGTGTGGTGGGACTCCTCACTGACCACCGCTTTGGGTCTGCCACCACTGAATTTGAATTTGAATTCAGAACCATTAGTCAACTGTGTTTGCACACAGACCTCTGCATTTAACCCATCCATGCAGTGAAACACCCTCATGCACACTAGAGAACACACACACTAGGGGGCAGTGAGCACACTTGCCCAGAGCGGTGTGCAGCTCTATCCATGGTGCCTGGGAAGCAGTTGGAGGTTAGGTGCCTTGCTCAAGGGCACTTCAGTCACTGGGAGCGACAATGACAGCAGCAGCACTCCTCTCGACCGTCCTCTGTTCTCTCCACCATCCACTGTGCTGACGGCACTGGTGAGGCTGCTGACCACGCGTGCGGCCCCTGTTCTCCACCTCGGTTCTGCTGCTAGCCGCCACAACTAGCTTCACTTGCCCAGTGTTTTCTTCCCAAGGTCAAGCATGGCCCCCGGATGCCACCAAGTAGTCCAAGCCAAGGATGCATGCCTCCCGTTTGGGTGCAAGCCAAAACTCATGTTCTTGGCTCAAACCCCTGGAGTGACCAAGAGCTGCACTTTCCCCCTCAGGTCTATTCAGCCACCGCCGACTGACCTGTGCTGGGTGGTGGTCGTCTCCTAGCCACGTAATGAGTCTCTCTCAGCATGCAGGAGTTTGTCTGGACATAGCAGAGAAACAAGTATGGTGAGCCGTCTACCATTTATGCTGCACTGAACCCACAGCCGGCATCTGCTTCTTTGCTGGTTTAGGTTTATGGCATTGCTTGGCGACGTGTCCTCTCTTCCTGCATCCAGTCATCGTGTTGCTGCTCGCTCGGGGGCCTGTCTAACTGGGAATGTTGCGCAAACAATGTTGTAATAACTCTGGGGGGCTGGAGGGCAGGGGTGTGAGTAAACATCACCCTGGAGGTATGCGTCGTAAGAACAGTAATACCTGAGGCTTATTTGCTGTAAGAGAGAGAGAATTTGCATATTAATTAACGATACACCTACAAAGATAAGTTGTTGTCACTTACTGTCATGCCGAACGTAACTAAGAGGGTCCAGGAGTCACTGGTGGGTTCAGCATCCAACTTGTCTGTGACGTTAATTAAGACCTGGATGCAGTTTGAGTGAGTTGAGAGACGTTTTGTTGATGCATTTACAGAAACTGGGAGACTATTCATGTATAGTGTTTGTTAGCAATGTTAGCGTAGCAGCTCCCATTCTAAACTAAAGAAGCAAAACCTGGACACCAAACATGGCTGATTGAAAATCCTGTAACTGGAAAATCATGTAAGTGAGACTTTTCAGCAAAGTAATTCTTTAATGTTGTTTTAATCTGTAATACCAGTAAAAATGGAACAGTTTTCCAAAACACAACTGATCCTTACCAAGCCTTAAAAATTAGCATGCTAATGTAGAACATGTGACGCTAATGTCAGATTACAATGCCCTTAAATAATAACGATATTTACAGCTGGGTTAAACTGAGTTAAGTGAATATTTTGAGAGAACATAAACATGTTTTCTCTTCTAGCTAGATTCTCACTGCGGATATGTTCGTTTCTGTGCCTGGAAGTTTACAACTGTGCCCTGTTGATTGTTTTTATTCATGATGAGTCTGACACACCAGGTATGTTTTACTCATTTCTACTGTAGCCCTGATTAAAATGAAAACATATAATACTATAAAATAAATCAATCAGTTATTTATAACGATTAATTTCATGGAAATTATTTAGAATCAGCGAATTCCAAATGGGTAAATGTTTTTAAAAAGCAGTAAAATGTCTCAGCTTCACAACACAAACCAATAGTAGTTATATTTGCTTTATATTTTCTATATTAAGTCTGTTATCTTATTTTTTTGTTGTGTTTTAATTGCAAAAAGGACACAGACTATTTCTTAACCACTGATTTGGTACGGTAATAAACAAACAATAAATCTGAATCTGAAATCTGCACTTTGGAAAACAGAGCTGCAGTGAAGAATCTAAATTTTAAAAGAAACAAAGAAAATGAAGGTATTTTATCGCAATAGTGTAGCAATGGAACCGAGGCCACCCTAAACCAGACTTTAAGGCAGGGGTGTCCAGTCTTATCTGCAAATGGCTTTTGTGGCTGCAGGTTTTCACTCAAGCTGAAACTCACCTTGACTCCACTTGTTTAATCAGTTGGTCTTGGTGTCATCAGGATATTTCATAGTATATTGTGTAGTGTAATAAATCAATAAGCCACAAGAGGCTGTGGGTTACTGTGATTTTATCACAGGAGGGTGTTCTTGGGCACGATGTGAAGCAGACAAACACCCCCTTCCCTGTGATAAAATCACTGTAACGCACGGCCTCAAGTGGCTTATTGCTTTTATAAAACAATGGCCAACATGAAATATGATTAAATACATACTTTCTCAGAAAACAATTTATTATTTAAAATTATCAACATAAACAAGTATTCCATCAATAAATGTAGTTCCTTTAGAGTAAGGTATCATTGCCAAGCAACCTGGATCACTGAATGAGGAGAAGAATATTCAGTGGCCCATCGCTGTTCACTGCAGTCATTTCATGAATTTTCTTAACTGTTTGTCTTATAACAGAGTATATGACAACGCAACACTGTTTAATGTATAAACCATGACTTTATAAGTACTTTTTGCTCACCAAATTTCCACTGCGAGTCTTATTTAGCACCAATCCAGCGCCCTCTTCTCAATCCGTTTGAATCTCAAACAGCTCCCTGCTCCCTACATAGTGACTACGTAGGAGTTTAAATACTGGATCCTGCAGCCCAACAGAGCAAAATACAGCTAAGAAACAGTCATATGGGACTCAGACTCATCCACACTCGATAAACGATGCACTATGTGGCTGTAAAGGCTAGAATTCCTAAACTTTCATAGCTAGAACACTATTTAGGGAGTACGGAGCCGTTTGAGACTCAACCTGGGTTTGATGCAACTTCTGACTGAAACACGGACTGAAGTGTGTAAAACATTGAAGTGACTTTTAGACTTTTTATTCTGCTGTTTTACAGTTAATCAAATCATAAGTGCTTTAATTCAAGCCTATGATGTTAATGATGGAGCTGTTTAGCATGTTTGCTATCTTTTAGCCTGTTAGCTAGCTGACCAGCCCAGTTCTAGATAAGAACATAAGCTGTCAGCCTCTCCGTTTAAACAAAAACAGATTCTCACTTCATCAGTGCACTCGGTGCTCCATGTGAGCAGCATTACAGTCAAACATTATTCCATTAACAGCACAAGGGTTTTTGTGCTGTAGCGCAGTGACACTCAATTCAGTTGTTGTGAAGTGATCATAGGTGTGGTATATCATGGATTTTACAGTGGCTACGAATGCGGCTCAGCCAATCAGATTTTAGGACCGGAACTATCTGTTTTTTACAGTAGGTAAAGGTTTATGGAATATCAGTATATTTTATTTCGTAGTGTTTCAGATGGGTACTTTACACCCAGGACCACTTTAAACAAATGAGCTAATGACGTCCATTTTGGGTGTAAATAGAAAAAAATCTTTCTTTTAATGCTTTGCTGATTTGTCAGGGATGAGGAGACTGGATGCAAATTCAAGAGTTTTATTGCATGAAAACAGTCAAGAAGACCATCCAGTCTGAGATCAGCAAACAGGGCAGTTAGTGATGTAACCTTTTGTGAATGATCTGGTTGTTTTGATTGGCTCTTTGGTAAGAACGAAGGAGCCGAGTTTTACTTGGGAGCCGTTCTGTTAATTGTTGCCCAAATTTCACTGCCTGCCCTAAATCCACTTCACTCCTCACGTGATCAGTGAGAACCAGCCAGTCATGTGGTCATGTGAGGGTCCTCAAAGACAGAATGAGTAGGATTTGTAGGTTGCTGTTCGGTCTAAACTTCACCTAGAGTTAAAGATGGCGCTTACTCAGGCAGTCATTAAATGTCAATATAATGTTCAATCTTTATTAATAACATGCATATCATTACTTTCCAGATATTTACAATATGATATCAGGAGTATTCATGGTGATGCTTCTGCTTCTCTCACTACAAAGGCACTGCTTTCAGCAGAAACCGTTTAAATGTAAGTGTGTGAAATGGTCAGTTATTTCTGTCTGTAAAAGAAATTAAAATAAAAATGAACCCTAACCAATTTCAAGATACAACATTCTGTCTGAAAACCAATAATACATATCAAGTTTAATATCATTACAATTATGTATGTTTTAGTAAATGATTAACAGACAAAAGTAATGAAGTCTTTCAAACTTTCACATCTTTTATGCTGTTATTACCAAATAAAACTAAATGACTATAAATATTTATTTTTTCAGGTCTGCATATTGGTGTCTCGTTTTTTCCTGTAGCTGCAGCCTGCTTGCTTCATGCTTCAGTTTTTGCTTGTTTTGGGATTAGAATGAAAAATTTTGCCCATGGTAAGTGTGAAAAAACACTTTCGGAATGTTTTAAAAGATAAAAAAAAAAGTAATTAATTATTCTTCTCTCTGGGCGATGTCTGTGTTTTCTATGTTTCCATCCTATGACTTTAATGCAGAAGATTTTTGAGAACCTCCATGCAAAGCCAGCACTGCCATTAAGAGAAGAATGTTGGTAACTACCGCACACTGATTTGCTTTAAATCAGCCAGTTGTAATGGATGCATCCCCAGCTGAGGACCGTAAGAGGGTCAAGGACCTGGACCTCAGTGGAAAAACTACTCCCATTCAGCATGAGACAAAATTCAATGAGGACTTTTGTCTGTGGTGAAGAGTCTGATGAGGCGCTATGGTATCAACCTGGAATGGTTTCTGCATCTTCTGTAACCAATTTCTCCATTTCTCCAAGTTAAACTTGGTGACGAGCAGTTCTGTTTCTCATGTCATAGTTTTGTTCAGTGGGGGTTCATTTTCTGGAAAAATATGCACAAGAGTACAATGTAAGTGGATCAGTATACCAATGTGACATTCACCCCAACACCTTCCTCAAAAGCATCCACCTCCACTGCAAACTGGATACGGAGGACTTCCGTTATATTCTCAGTCCATGGAAGTTTGATGGAATGAATGTTTTTCAGCTGTAACATATAACTGATTTTCCAGGATGGAATGCAAGACCAGGCAAACGCATTAAAAATGCTGTTTCGTGTTGTCTGAATATGACAGAGTCATCAGTGTAAGTGCCTATGAATTCTCCCTCATGTCCCTCAGTATGTTGTTACTGGAAAAAAAATGACATGGACAGCCCAAACATTTTCAGTGGCCAGTGATGGTGGAGAAACCCACTCATTGCCCTCTCTATACGAATTAGAATGTGTGCACTTCTCAGGTCAAGTTTAGTGAAATAGTGAGTTCCTCACAGCTGTTCTAGCACTCTTGTCCCCTCACCTACCCCATCCCTGCTCTAAAAAAGCCTGGTGCTCTCCTCCATCCCATCCATCTCTCTGTCTGTCCCCTCCCACCACTTCACCTCATGATAGCCATGAGAGGTGACAAGAAGCCAGAATCAGGGCACCAATGACAGCCACAAGTAGCAGTGTGAGGACGGCACCTGAGCCCCGCCTCCTGTTCTGTTTTGTACTATGACTGACGTTTGATCCAAGGTGGCCGAGCTTTGGTGCAGGGGTGGAGACGGTTTTCCCTTTCTTCTCAGGTGCTTGTGCTGCCCTAATGAGAGCCAGATGATGCTGGTTTGGCTGTGGCAATGTAGGCAAAGAGCAGAGCAGGAAGAGAGAGAAGACAGATGAGCAGCATTAGAGACTGATGAGCTGAAAAGCCTGTGTGTGAGAAAAGGACTGAATTTGGGTTTTGGTTTTGTGTTCTGTGTGAAAAAAAAATGCATGCTGAAAGTCACTCCGACCTCCAGCGTCCTGCCTCATCCCAGGATAGCACACGGCATGCTACACAAACCCTTCACTTTTTTGTTTGGTTCGTGGAACAGACACAGTTCTGACAGAGTGGAACCTACGTGGCGTCTCAACGCAGCTAGCAGACGGTCAATTTAGCCTGTCTGTCTGCTGCCTGGCCTTTGCCTGGGTTAGGCCTGATTTGTCCTACACTGAAGGCTAACTGAAAACATGATGTGCTGCAATAAATGAGAGCACCATTCTGACTCAAAAGAACAAGCTTGAAGGCAGTGAATTCTGCTCTTTCATAAGGAAGACTGTTCTTGAAGTTGCAGTCATGTAGATAATGTGATATTACAAAGGTCAGACAGGGAGTGTACTGCCCTCCAAGGTGCTTATGTGCTTCCTCTATGGACATGTGTTCCTGTACAAGTCTGTTAAAAGCTCTAGAGTTTATGGATGTGCCTCTCTGCACCAGGTTAGAGGTGCACTGCATGTCAGGAAAATACCAAAAAAAATGTATTCTTCTCTACTACACCCACATAGACCAGCGCTGAGATTTAACCTTATTCATCTGAAGCTGTGACAATGACAATAGAGCCAAATTTGTGCTTAAGTGTAACCCACAGGGGTCAACTGCGGTGCATGAAATTAAATGTTTGTGTTTCTCTAAATTTCTTTGTGATGATCCAGCTCAGAAATCCAGTTCAGACACTTCCTGAATCTGTAGAGTCGCCCTTTCCATTCCATCTTATCACGAGATCATACGACACTCACATCCGGAGTTATGAGCCTATGAAGAGGGGCTGAGATACACGTCATCTGCCTATGGATTCATGTGTCCGTCTACGTTCTGTGTGAAACCAATGGACACTCAGGAAATCACTAAGGACTGACCATCACGCTGGAAACCTTTCACTTTTCATTCTATCGACTTGGACAGAGACAAGTGGTGTGTAAAAGGTTGGCAGCTGCTGAAGTTGCTGCAGCGATTTTGGAAAGTAGTGATGAGAACATCATCATTTATCTACTGTTTTATTTAAACATTTACAACTTTTGTGATCCTCAGACTTTGGTAAACACATTTGAACACACACACAGTTCATCCACATCAGTAAAGCTGTGTTTTCAACAGTGAAGAATTTCTAAAACTAGATTTCATTTTTCAGCTCTAGGGCTGAATTATGGGGCATCATAATCCCAGTCTTTGAAACTGTTCAGAGCCAGTACAGCCAGAACTCCACCTCAGAGACCTTCAACACCAAACGGCTCCTTTCACAGCTGCTCTGAAGGCTGACACAGTATCCATTACACTGCAATGGGCTGAACAGACACACCTGGTCCTGAGCTCACGTGGTGTCCTTGGAGCTGAGAGTCATAAGGCCACTTTTGCTGCTGCTGTTGCTCCATCCTGGCCTAAACGTCCCAAACATAATTTGTCAACAGACCAGCTCTAGACTTTGTGCAGCGGTGTGCTAAATGAAGGATCCATGGGGGTCTGCAGCTCCTGTGCTGCTGGTATGCACCCGCTAGTCCTAGTCATGCTAGCGGCCACAGGTAACGATAGTAAGCTAAGTGGTAATCGCCCTGCTGAATCGCTCGCAAACACCAGCAGAGACTCCCTCAGTTCAGAGTCTTTATCCTCTAAACTCATGTTAGATTCAGTCAGCTGGAATCAAACCTGTGTCATGTTTGAAGCTAAAGCATGCTAAGCTACTGCTAAGACAGGGCTACACCCCATTTGTCAGTTCATTATGTAAACCCAAAGTTTTATTACACACTTTTAGAACTTAAGAATAGCTCAGCCAATTAACATTGAAGTCCCTGTGGTTACTGAATTATAAGCCTCAATATGTAATAAGCCTGAAATTTTAATGGGTTAATTACCACCATCATTCATCTGTTTTTGCTAATTAAGCCATCCAAGAGGAGTTAACCATTAAAACATTTATATCTTAAAGGTGACTGATGTGTGAATATATGCAGAAAAGTTCTAATTCAGTTAAAAATGTGTATCTGCGTGTTTTGCAGTGTGGACGCTTCCATTCACTGCAGTAATGTATGTCACTGTGTGGATAGCAGTGGTTTTTGTGATGCGCCGCCAGCACGAAAATAAAAAACCAAGATGCTCTAAATGGAGAGGAACAGGATGTAAGTATGTTTTAGAATTCTGATAAAGAATGAAGGAAAACAGTATTTTACAATATCATCCAAGATATATGAAGTTATTTATTACACTTTAATCTGAAATATTTCTCTTTTCAGATGTGTGCTGTGCTGTCGGTGTATCAATAACTGTCACTATAAACGGGATTATCTATCTACATTTTCTAAGAAAACACATGACTGCTAAAGGCAAGATATGAAAACATTTCCTCTCTTAGCTTAGATTTCACATGTTTGTTTTATGTTTCCACCTCATAAATTGTGAAAATAATAATAATAATAATAATAGTAATAATAACATGAAGGAGATTAAAAAGAAAAACTAGAAAGGGAAAGTTCATTGAGAACGTTAAAGTTGGCTTGACAAGGCCACCTGACATTGCTTGTTGTGGTTAAGTGATGTCCCAGGTGGTTGCTAGTGTGTTACTAGATGGTTGCTGTGTTGATCCAAGCGATTGTTATGCTGTGCTATTACTGTGTTTTAACTGTGCTATTACTGCATGCAAATGTAGTGCATGTAGTGTGTAATTATTGTGCATAGTGTGTCAGGATGTAGTTTCTACGAGTGTCAGTGTGAGAGGGATGTTTTATGAATTTTTTTCATCGTTTAAAATATGCCTTTCATTTCCTATGAGAGAAAAATGTGTTTGAACAAAAGCTACAAAAACTCTGATTAAAAAAGCACACGAACACTATTCAACACAGCTTTAAGTTGGTTTGATAATAATGTTGAAAAGTTAAAACAGCTGTAGACTTTCAACTTTATTGCTCATTCACAGCTGTAACTCTGCCTTCTGGCTCCTCTGGAGTCTCGTCAGTGTTACTGCAGCAACAGTCATGCAGGTTTGAAGACCAAACAAAATAGACCAGAGCCGGAGCTGCTGGACTGCTGATCGCGTCTCACTGGCTGATCTAATGCTGCACTCCACACCACACACTTCTGTACTTCACCTACTACACTAATGAGTGCACTTGTCATGCTATCCCAGGTGGTTGCTAAGGTGTTGCAAGGCTGTTGCTAAGGCGTCCCAGCTGGTTGATGAGGTGATGCTAGGCAGTTGCTATATTATTACAGGTGGGAGCGAAAGTGTTAGTAGGCCATTGCCATGCTATCCTATGTGGTTGCTAAGATGTTGCTAAGTCATTGAAATGTTGTCCCGGGTGGTTGTTAAGGTGTAGCTAGGGGAAATTACTGTGGTTGGTGGCAAAGATGCTGCTCAGCTTTTTCTGTGTTGTGTGGAGTGGTTGCTAAGGTGGTGTTTGGCCCTTGCTATTGTATCCTAGATGGTTGCTAAGATGTTGGTAGGCTGTTGCTATGGTATCCTAGGTATCTAAGGTGCTGCTAGGCTATTGCTATTGTATCCCTGTTGTTGCTAAGGATATTTCTAAGCTATTCCCATGATGTCCTATGTGGTTGCTAAGGTGTAGCTAGGTTGTAAGTAGGTTATCTCAGCTTGCTAATGTGTTGTTAGGATGTTGCTATGAAACCACAGGTGGTTGCTAAGGTGTTGTTAGGCCATTGCTTTGCTTTTTTCAGGTGACTTTATTAGAAACACCTACCTTAAACTAACTACTTCTAATTGGTCAAGTTATTAGAAGCACCTTTTTAGGCAGAAACTGTTGTATGTTTTTGATAATTGAGTTTATTTAGTAATTCCAGGTGGTTGCTATGTTATACCAGCTTGTTGTTAAGGTATACAAATGCCTACTTACCGTATACAGAATACAGAGTAAACTAGCAACACAGAAGTGTGCTGGTACATAGACAGTGTAAGTACATGTGCAAAATAGTTAGTGTCCAGTAAACATTGACATCAAGTTAATTTAAGTGTTCAGACCAAGTATATATGAAGTCAGTCAGCAGTGCAGTGTGTACGTAGTTGGATTAGTGTTTGTATTCCTGATGTGGTGAGTGCTAGTTTAACAAGATGAAGATACAAGTAAGAGAAATACTGCATGTAAGCAGGAGTGGTAGCCCAGCTGCTTCTGTCTCCAGCACTGCTGGACCCTTTTAGCCTGAGCCTGGATGTAGAGGAATCTATAAAACATGCTGGGCAGTGGAGCTCCAGGACCAGGACTGAGAACAACTGGACCAAACTGTGTAGTTTTAAAGTCCTCTGCTTTCTCATCTAACATCAAAATACTGAGAATTCACTTCATCACTGTGTGACCTACAGACTCACTAGACTCAGTTTAAACCCAGTTACGATGCTCCTGTCTTCAGTTTGTATTTTAGATTAAATTAACAATAACGCAACATTAAAAATGAGGACTATCTTTAAAACTAACTTCAGTTTAACATCTGATTACAGATTATTCCGGATACTCAGCTTTAATGGTTTTGCTGCATGTTTTGCCTCCTGCAGTTCTCTTTGATCACCCAAGAAACATTCCGAGTAAGTTTATATAAATGCTGATTTATAATTCCTAAAATTAAATGTACAGAATTACAGTAGTTCATTTATAGTTGTCTATTAATATAAAGAATATAACCTGAATATGTGATTCTGTGTTGCAGAGCTTCCTCACATCATTCTTCACCTGTTTGGATCTTCAGGATTAAGTGTTGTAACGTCCCTCACTCTGGCCTTGGAACTGATCTTAAAATCAGGTAAATATGAGGTATGAAGGCAGAGTGATGTAAGTCAGTGATGGCAGCGTTGTTATGGTTACAGTGTGTGTGAGTACAGTAACAGCTGGATGTGAACAGAGTCAACATCTCCAAACTGGAACAGACACAAAACCGTGAAGCAGCTAAGATAAACTCCTACACTGTAACTGAAATGTAGGAGCTGTGGGTAAATTATTACTTTTAATTAAAGTATTGGAAACTTATTTTTTAAATAATAATTCTTATAAATGGGGCACCAGGTGTGTATGTGTAGATATACCAACACAGAAGGCAACAAACACCATAACGAGAGGGTGGAGTTACATACAGGTGGAACAGACGACAAGGGGGCAGGACCAGGGAAGAGACATAACAACAACAACAACAACAACAACAACAAAAGTACATGGAACGACAAAAAAAATAAAATAAATAAAAATAATAAAATAAAGGCCGAAACAAAGACAAGAATAGAGCAACACAGGGTGTTACAGAAACCCCCCTGGGGACTGGTTTGGAGATGAAGCTTGAAAGGGGCTGAATGGGAAACTAAACTGGGGAACGGACACAAGACCAGACAGCGTGAACAGGTGAGAAGACAGAAGACTGAACAAAGGCCTGAGTGGGAGTCTGGATATAACAAGAGAAAGGAGACTGGACAAGGGACTGGATTAACACCGACATGGAGAAAGGGACAGACTCGGTTACGGGGACAGGGACAGTGGAGATACACTGGAATATTAACAATGACAGGTACAGGAATGTACACAGTGACAGGCACAAAAACAAAGCTGGGGTCTGTCGACTGGACAGACACAGGGGGAAACACAGAATAAAGACATGCTGGACAGGGAACAGGAAGTGTGGCCAGGCAAGGAAAATTAAACAGCTGAGCTTCTGGCTGAGCAGAGAACTGGTAATGCAGCTGAGTGGAGATCTGGAAAGGTGGCTGACCAGGGAACTGGAAAGGCTGGGCGTCTGGCACTAAAACAGGGCATGGAACATAGACATAGACATAGAGACATAGACATAGACAGACTTTATTGTCATTCAAATTTACACCATACAGTGCACATTAGAACGAAATTACGTTGCATAGGCTCAGAGTAGATCAGGAGAATTATAAGTAATACAGTGTAGTGCAAAGTGCAATGTAGTGCAGAGTGTGGTGCATATGTAAACATATTTATGTCAACAGATAAATACATTTTAAATAAATATATATACAAGAGGGTGTATTGCACTGTAGCTCCCAGGTATGGAGTAATTAAAACAAAGAATTGAAGCAGCATTTATTTAGAGTTCAGCAGTCTTACTGCATGTGGGAAGAAGCTGTTTTTGAACCTGGCTGTTCTGCTTCGAAGACTTCGGAACCTCTTTCCAGAGGCTAGCAGCGAGAACAGTCCATGGTGGGGGTGGGAGGGGTCTCTGTTTATTTCTGAGCTCTGGTCAGACAGCGCCTTGTTGCAATGTCCTGTATGGGAGGAAGTGAAGTCCCAATAATTCTCTCTGCTGTCCTTACCACTCTCTGCAGAGACTTCCAGTCAGAGGCGCTGCAGCCCTGAGGAGAGCCAGTGCTCAAAGAGATGGCACTGGAGACGTTGTTGCCCACCCGCACAGACTGAGGTCTATTTGATAGAAAGTCCAACAGCCAGTTACACAAGTGGGTGCTGAAGCTAAGGGGGGCCAGTTTGCTTATCAGATGTTGTGGGATGATTGTGTTAAACGCTGAGCTAAAGTCCAGAAACAGCATGCGCACATGTGTATTTCTTCCTTCTAGATGTTCTAAGCTCAGGTGAAGTGCAGAGGAGATAGCATCCTCTGTGGAGCGATTTGGGCGGTAAGCAAATTGGTACGGGTTGAATGTGGGAGGGAGTTTGGAGGTGATGTGGTCCTTTACCAGCCTCTCGAAACACTTCATCATGATGGGGGTGAGTGCTACAGGGCGGTAATCGTTGAGGGAGGAGATTGTGGGTTTTTTGGGCACCGGTATGATTGTGGCAGTCTTTAGGCATGATGGTATGACAGCCTGTTTCAGTGAGGTGTTAAAGATGTCTGTGAGAACCCCAGCCAGCTGATCAGCACATTCCTTCAGCAACCGCCCTGGTATGTTGTCGGGGCCCGCCGCTTTCCAAGTGTTCACTCTCCTCAGGGCTCTTCGGACTTCTGCTGTATCCAGGCAGAGTATCTGCTCGTTAGGGCGAGGAGTAGATTTTTCTGCAGAAGTGGTGTTCAGAGCCTCAAACCTTCCAAAATATTTATTTATTTTGTTGAGGAAGTTGATGTTGTTCTCACAGGGGGGAGGAGTAGCTTTATAGTCTGTGATTGTCTGAATGTCTTGCCACATTCGCCTTGTGTTTGAGGGATCCTGGAAAAAATCCTTCACTTTTTGACCATGAGCATGCTTTGTGACTCTTATGGCACGGTTCAGGTTTGCTCTAGCTGTTCTAAGTGCCACCACATCGCCAGATTTAAAAGCGGTATTCCGTACTTTCAGCTTCGCACGTACCTCGCTGGTCATCCGTGTGCTCATTGGCCCGTGTGAAGATGTTTTTAATCACATCACAGAGAGATGGTCTGAGGAGCCAAGGTGGGGGCGGGGTGCTGCCCTGAATGCCTCTTTGATGTTGCTGTAAGCCAGATCTAGTGTGTTTTTTCCTCTGGTGGCAAAATTCCGTCGCTGGTTTGAGGCTCCGCTGCTTCACAGGCCGCTGGATGTAGCCGACGTAGCAGTCCGAGGCTGCGTATAAGGTCTAGAGTGGTTGCATCTGTGAGTCTAAGATTACTCGATCCTCTTAAATCCAGTATCTCTTGACGGTCGTATACTGATTTGTAATGTATGCACCGCAGATTCGCTGTGAAACTGCGCAAATTCTCTTAGTTATAAGACATTAAATCTCTGCTACTATCGCGAGCCGTAGCAGCCGCAGCCGAACAGGGTGCCGCCATCTTACTTTACATGGCGGGGAGCTGATGCTGGAGCAGACCTCTGGCAGGCTGGCGCTGGAGTGGAATACTGGGAGGCCAATGCTTGAGCAGGGCGCTGAAAGGCCACTGCTGGAGCCGCCTAAGGAAGCAGAACTGGAGCAGCCTGGAGGTCCAGAACATGAGCATTGCGTGGAGCCATCTGAGGCACATGAACTGGAGCATCCTGGGGAGCAGAAACTGGAGCAGACCATGGAGCAGGATTTGGAAACAGTGAGATTAGTAAGTTAAGAGATTCAGAGGTTGTCAGGTCAGGACACATAGAAACCACAGGTAGGTCAGGAAACACAGAGGACACAGGCAGGTCAGGGAACTCTGAGGCCAGTAGGTCAGGGAACTCTGAGGCCGGCTGTCACAAAGCAAAAGTTGTCTCAAACTGGTTTCATGAACATGACAGTGAGTTCAGTGTTCTTCAGTGGCCTTCATGGGATCTGAATCCAGTAGAACACCTTTGGGATGTGGTAGAACAGTAGACCAGAATCTCAAAGGAATGTTTCCAACACCTCTGGGAATGCCATGAAGAATTGAGGCTGGTCCGGGAGCAAAGAGAGGCTGTACCCCAGACATGTCAAACTGGGGACATTCTGGGCCGAAGATCTGTGAAGATCAGCATTTACCCTCATCAAACTCTGAATTCAGATGATGAAGTCCTTGCTAATCAGCTGATGAGCTGAATCAGGTGTGTTTAATGGGGCAGTGAGCTGAAGTCCTTTTTTGGCCTGTGAGAACTGGAGCCTGACACACATGCCCTACCCAGTGTCAGTGTACTGTTCCTAATAAAGTGCTCAGTGAGTATGTGTCAGTTGGGGGACTGTAAATTGCAAGTAGCTCTTTCTCAGTAGCTTCTCATCTAATCAAGCTGAAATTGTACATGCTGCATTGTTGAGCTCCTTCGATCACTAGCCATGGTGGAGAAACACTACATGCAAAACTGAAGCCAGACTCTGACATTTAAACTGCTTACCAAAGATGAAGTGATGGAGCTAATGAGCACTAATCATCCCACAGCCTGCCTACTGGACCCAATTGCTACCACACTTCTCCAAACTACCTCCACAAGTACTGCTTTGTTTTGAACTCACCACTGATCACTAATCAGGTTCCTTCCACTTCCAGATTTGTTAAGTGACAAAGCTGCTTAAGAACCCCTCCCTAGATCCTACTAACATGGTGAACTACAGACCCATTTCACCCCTTTGATTTTCATCCCAAACCCTAAAACAGGCTGTCGTGGCACAGCTGTCTGACCATCCTGAGAGGAACACACTTCTGATTCTAAGCTGTCCAGATACAAACCAGGACACTCAACAGGAACCACCCTCCTGTCAATCACTGACTCTCTCCACAAAGCCAGGGAGATCAGTGGGTGCGGTGGTAGGGGGTGCTATAAAATCATTCTGCACCCCTTGAAAAGATAGAGATAAATTATTCAACTGTAATTTTTCACTTTCCACAAGATGAGCATAATCAGTACTTTGTGTACTTACATACATTCACTGAGATCACTCAGTGATACAGCATCAGTCCTGTTTTAGTCTGCTCTCATAATAGAATAAAAACAATACCTGAAAGAGTCTCTTCACGTTTTCTGTGTTTTACGGAAGTGTTTGCGGAAGGTCAAGATCTGCAGATCTAAGATCACGTGTTGGAACATAAACAGACTTTCAGTGATGTACACAGGTACAGGTTCATTTAGAGCCTGAAAACTTGAAAAAAGTTTGAAATATTACTATTTTGCTTAGGGGGTCTTTATATTACAATTAATATCACAGAAATGTTGCTAAAAAAGTTGATCAACATTTCAAAAGAACCAAATTCACCTACAGTGGCATTTGTGCAGTTAAAGTGACCTGTTTTAAATGCAGGCCACTCCTCCTCCTCCTCCTCACCTGCAGAGAACATTTTCACCTTCTGCTACAAAATACACTGAAAACGTGTCTCTACAGTTCAGTACAGTGGAAAGATTCAGCTTCTGTCAGGATCTCACCCTAAATTTAGCTTAATAACTACCCAAAAATTAACTTAATAAATCAATGAATCTACTGAAAAACTGCAGATTTGTGTTGTTTGTTAAGAAGTAAACAGAAAGTGATCATATAATAATTATTTGCTCAATAATTCTACTTAAAAAATAATTATAATGAAAATATTTATATTTATATGTATAATTGATCTGTAGGAACCGGAGAACCGAGAACTCTGCCTGAAATGCACATCATCATCCTGCCCTTTGAATCACTCTTCATTTCTGGTTGGATTGCTTTACAAATCTATGACACCTGTAAGTAACAACAACAACAAATAATAATAATAATAATAATAATAATAATAATCACATGCTCCTAGTCATGTCTTTGGGTATAACACTTAACTCCACCACTGCTCTAGGGGGTGCTGCTCTGCTATGCTCCTCACAACATAATGATGAGATTAAGTCTAAATTCATTTAGAGAGAGAGAGAGATTAAAGTGGAAAAGTTTAGGTAAATTGAAGGAAGGGAGGTTTGGCAGATTTAGGGAAGTTTAAGTAAATGAAGAGAGTTGGGCGATTTAAGGAGGTTTATGGACTTAGAAAAGTTTAGAGAGGTTTAGGGACATTTTGGGAGGTTTAAGGAAGTTTTGGGAGGTTTAGGAAGGTTTTGGGGACTTTAAGGACTTTAGAGAAATGCAAGTAGATTTAGGGACATCTAGGAAGGTTTAGGGAAGTTTATGGAGGTTTAGGGGGGACGGTTTAGGAAGGGAGGGACATTTAGGCAGCTTTACACATATCAAGGGTTTTTTTTATGGAAGTTTAGGGAAGTTTATGGAGGTTTATGAAATAAGGTTTGGGGACATCTAAGAAGCTTTAGGGCAGTTTAGGGAAATTTTAAGGACAGTTAAGAAGCTTAGTTTCAAGTTTGTCATTTGCACAACACGTCAGGACATTTATGCATTGAAATGCTTGTGGTGAGGCTCAGATAATCACTTTACAGAATGTAAATAAGTAAAAAAAATAAAAATACAATAAAAACAAACTGAAATATATTAAATATACACAAGATATACACAAAATATAGGGACAGTATACATTTTAAAGTGACTTAGTGTTAAAGTGTTATTGTCCATAGCAATGATACGATATAATAATAATAATAATAATGCTGACAATGTGACTGAGTGAAATGGTAGTTGGTGAAGGACCCACAGCTTCACAGCTTGTTCAGAAGCCTGACAGCCTGTGGGTAGAAACTGTTCATTAGCCAGGTTGTTCTAGCCTGTATGCTGCAGAATCTCCTGCCTGATGGCAGGATGGTGAACAGGCTGTGTGCTTGGTGACGCTGTCTGACCGGATCTTTTTGATCTTCCTGAGGCAGCGGGACTGAGATGTCCTGTAAGGCAGGTAGGTTGTTGCCTATGATGGCTTCTGCCGTCCTCACCACTCCTTTAAGGGCCTTGCAGTCACAGGCGGTGCAGCTGCTGTACCAGACAGTGATGCAGCCGGTGAGGAAGCTCTCTATGGTGCATCTGTAGAAGTTGGTGAGGATCTGAGGAGGCAGACCAAACTTCCTGAGCCTACGCAGGAAGAAGAGACGCTGACAGGCAGATCTCACAATAGTGTTGGTGTGGAGGGACCAGGTGAGGTCATCAGTGAGGTGTATGCCTAGAAACACTGCTGACTCTCTACACTTCAGCTCCATTGATGAATAGAGGAGAGTGACCACCCCTCTGCAGCTTCCTGTAGTCCACGATCATCTCCTTTGTTTTGCTGACGTTGAGACAGAGGTTGCTGTCGTGGCTTCACTCTGACAGAGCGCTGACCTCGTCTCTGTAGGCTGTTTCATCTCCATCAGTGATGAGGCCGAGGATGGTGGTGTCATCAGCAAACTTGAAGATGATGTTAGATGTGTGTTTGGCTACACAGTCATGTGTATACAGGGAGTACAGGAGGGAGCACACATCCCTGGGGAGCCCCTGTGCTCAGAGTCAGTGTGGAAGAGAAGCTGTTCCCAACTTTCACCACCTGGGATTCTGCTCGTCAGGAAGTCCAGTGTCCAGTTGCAGAGATGAGAATTCAAACCCAAGTCTGTGACATTAGGAATGAGTTTGGCAGGGATGATTGTGTTGAATGCTGAGCTGTAATCTATCAGGTGTGTGAGAGCAGTGTGTATTGTTAGTGCAATGGTGTCGTCTGTGGATCTGTTGGAGCGGTATGCAAATTGGTGAGGGTCCATGGTGGCTGGAAGTGTTGAGCAGATGTGAGCTTTGATCAGCTGCTCAAAGCACTTCATAACTGTAGATGTCAGTGCAACAGGGCAGCAGTCATTCAGGCAGGTGACAGACGATTTCTTGGGGACTGGAACAATTGTGGTTTTCTTAAAGCATGTGGGAATCACTTACAGTCTTAAGGAGAGGTTAAAGATGTCAGTGAAAATCTCAGCCAGCTGGTTGCCACATGCTTTGAGCACTCGACTGTGGGCGCCATCGGGACCAGGGGCCTTGCATGGGTTTACTGTCCTGAAGGATCTCACCACCTCAGACAGGGGAAAGGCTACAGCACAGCTCTCCTCATCTACTGGGAGTTTCTCAGCAGGTGAGGTGTTAGTTGCCCCAAAACGAGCCTAATGAGCATTAAGTTCATCTGCAAGTGTGGAGAAAAAGCCCCCATCACAGATCCCACCTTCTTTGTAGTCAGTGATGGTGCGCAGGCCACTCCACATATGTCTGAGATCAGAGCCAAGATAGTTGGATTCCACTCTGTCCCTGTAGCTCCTTTTGGCCAGCCTGATGGTCCTCTGAAGGTCATATCTGGCTTTCTTGTAGCTAGCCGGGTCACCAGAGTTGTAGGCAGCAGCCCGAGCTCTTAGTTTGGCTCGAACCTCAGCATTGATCCAGGGTTTCTGGTTGGGAATTGTTCTGACATTGATTTTTGGTACAATGTCTTCAGTGCATTTATTGATGTAGCTTGTGATGGAGTCAGTGTATTCATTGATGTCTGTGTCAGCTGCATCACCGAACGTCTCCCAGTCTGTGGATTCAAAGAAGTGTGAAGATGGCCTCCTCACGCTATTGATAGACTGATCTGAGAACTGGTTTCGCCTATTTAAGTCTTTGTTTGTATGCAGGCAGGAGAACAATGGAGGTGTGATCAACTTTGCCGAAAGCAGGGCGGGGGAGGGGTTTGGAGCTGTCCTTGAGTGCAGTGTAGCAGTGGTCAAGAGTCTGTTGTCCTCAGGTGGGAAATTTAATGTGCTGGTAGTATTTGGACAGAATCTTCAAGTTTGCCCTGTTAAAATCCCCACCCACTATAAAAGCAGCCTCAGGGTGAACGTCCTCAAGTCCATTAATGGTCTCTTCCAAAGCATGTGACTTATCTGCCTGAGGTGGGATGTAGACTGTGGTGAGAATGACTGAGCTGAAGTCTCTGGGCCAATAAAAGGGTCGAACTTTGACTGTTATGAGCTCAATGTCTGGAGAGCAGTGACTGGCTAGAACTGCTACATCTGTTCCCCATTGAGAGTTCACCATAACACATACCCCGCCACCTCTGCCCTTACCAGAGTCCAGAGTCCTGTCCTGGCGGTAGACGGTGATGCCGTTGTTCGGTGTTGCCGCGGAGAGCCACGTCTCTGTGAGCGCTAAAACGCAGCAGCAGTCGATGTTGCACTGAAACCTGATCTGCGCGTTCAGCTCGTCTGTTTTGTTCTCCAGCAATTGAACAATTGCGAGCAGAATACTAGGAAGTGGAGGGTTGAAGCACCTTTTCCTTGTCCTGCATAATATGCCGGAACATCTGCCCCTCTTGATCTTTCTCCTGTTCCACTGACACGTTGGTAAACAAAGAGGCAGGGAAGCTACGAAGGGACAGCCACGCGCGTCCGAGTGTGTGTTTGTGTTAAAGTTCGTCTTGAGCGATGATCGGATGTTCAAAAGAGTTTGTCGATCACATTGAATCATCCCAAAAGTGGTATGTGCAAAAACACAAAGAAACAGCACAATAAAACACAAACAACTGTAGAGTTTACCCGGAGCTCTCACCAGGGCGGCCATTCTACAGCGCACCAGGAGGGTTAGGGTTAGAGAGGGTTAGGGAAGTTAAAGGACATTTAGGAAGTGATAGGACAGTTCAGCAAAGGGAAGAATAGATTCAAGGGTGTTTAAAGACGTTCAGAGAAGTTCTGTGGCTGCAGAACTGGGGATAATCAGATATTCAGGACGGGGTTCTATAGACAGGAACCAACATTAATGTATGTAGTAAAGCACACCAGAGCCCTGCAGTTCAGATCAGAACAGTGTTGCTCCTTCACTGATTTAGTAGAACTTTATTTAGAGCAGATTGAGAAAATTATATTTAAACTGTAATGTTATTTTGCCTTCCGCCCAATGACAGCTGGGATAGGCTCCACCGTGACCCAGGAGGATAAGCGGTTTAGGTTGTGTGTGTGTGTGTGTGTGTGTGTGTGTGTGTGTATATATATATATATATATATATATATATATATATATATATATATATATATATATATATATATATATATATAATGTTATTTTAATGTTTTCTGCTTCTTCTCTTCCTTATTAAAGGGATGAGGATGAGACGCAGGTAATCTTATCTAAACTCAATCGAACTGACAGATGTTCATATAAACACAACAGTAATTAAAGTATGTTCGTTTATTTATTCAGTTTTGTTACTAACGTTGAGGTTTTCAGTGTTTGACACAAATGTGCACATCAGTTCCACACAAACCAAATGTTACATCAGCTTAATTTCTGTATGTAAGAACCTAATTAACTTACGTTTATGTCACATTTCATTCATGTGGACCCAAAGCACATATTTGAAACAAGCAAATTTAAAGCAACATTTATGAACCTTTTTCTTTCAGTGTAGCATTAATTATTCAATATCTATATCAGTTGAAGTGGTTAGAGTCAGAGTTAAAGGGTTAAAGTTGGGTATTAAAGTGTTAAATTTAGAGTTTAAGGGTTAAAACTGTATTAATTGTATTAACTGTGTCTTTCTTTGTCTGTAACAGAATAAAGAGTAACTTTGAAGCTGGAGGGGAAGCAGATCTTCAGGTAGGACGTGTGAATTTATTTCATTGTTTCTGTAATAAATGCTGTGCTGATGGTGGGGTCAGTCTGAGTGGACTGTTCTGTGGTCAGGTTGGTGAAGATGGTGAAGAAATGGAGGTTCTGTCTTCTCTGTCTAAAAGTCCTGAGTGCTGAGGTAACCACTCTGATATGAGGAGGAGATTTTCACTGTTTGATGATGAAGATGATGATGACGACGATGATGATGTGTTCTTTATTCTACAGGATCGTTCAGTACTGTAGAAGAACATGTTCCACTGCTGGAGATCTGAACAATCTGAATACAGTCTCACTGATAAACCAGCTCACATTTGCTGAATATGTATTATAGTTTGTAACCCTATATGTAAATATGTAACCCTGGAGTTTCAGCTCATCATTCTTCTTGTTTCTTGTGCTTTCCTTTAGCACTGCACATTATATTAGCACCACACACTTCCTTTTTTTCTGTTTAATTTTCTTTTATCTTTAGCACTTTAATTTTTAGTTTTTGCAATGCCTTTCTGCTTATCTCAGGATGTAAAGTTTTATTATGAAATATTATTTAATGCTTTTATTTGTCTGTTTGTGTGAAGCAGCACTTTGAATTGCTGTTGTGTATAAAAGATTCTGTACAAATAAACCTGCCATTAATCCATATTTTACACTACAATATAGATGCCACTTGCTATTTACCACTGTGAATGAATAAATCCCATTCTTTAAATCTTTTGATGAAGAAAATGCTGAAAACGTTGTGCATATGGACAAAAGCTCTTTTATTTTGAACAGGCACTTCAAGAGGCAGCAAGAAATAACCAGCCCAACATGTAACAGCCCAGCTGTTAGAATGCAGTTCTAACCTATTAGTTTATGAGTAGTTCTCCTGCTTAGCTGGAATTAAAATCTGCAGCCACACTGACCCCTTGTGGATCAGACTGGAGGTCCATGTGCTACAAAAATGAACATTACTTTGGGTCCCTAATGTAACATCAGGCTCAGGTATTTCTCTGGCAGTTGCAGGATGATAAGATGTTCAACTTTTTATATTTTAGCACCCTCGAGGCTCTAATTTTCTCTCCTCTCAGAGTTCACTCTCCATCATGATGCACACACAGAGAAATAGATCACAGCCTGTTACAGGATTTCTGTCCAAATGTGTTCACAGGTTCACCTGTAGAGGGCGCACTCACGCCAATTTAATTCAACACTTCATTTAGTCACATGATTTCTCACAGAGTTCAAGCCAGGACACGATTTGTGCCTCACTGACCGCGGTCAGAATGATCTGTTTCACTTTTGATGTAAAGCGATGAAGGAGAATGTAAGCGATTAAGCCTGGATGCGACTGTGACACCATGACTGCACGTATGTTCTTTAAAATGACTTTGTCAGTTTGATTGAAGTTTATTTGTATCCTGTATAGCATGAATCGTCTGCTTTACATACCGAGTAAACTGTGGTGTCATCAGACACTTGATTGTATTCATCAGAGATTCTGCCGAAAATCATCATATTAGCTTTCGTAGCTGGTGCTGTTGAAACATGTGGAGTTGTTGTGGATCCTTCTGCAATAATAAACTAGATCCATCACTGGAAATCAAACTTAAGTTCATAGAGACATTTTTGGCCAAAGAAAAAAAATCAGGAAAAAAATTCTAGAAATTGCGTTATTGTTGGTGGACGGTGCCGTCAGTGTAATGAGTTTCTGTAGAACAGCTAATTTCATATCTTACAGCTTTTCTTCCTGACCTGCTGAAGCGTCACAGCTGTGCAGATCTCTTCACTCAGCTGAGCTGCTCACTGCACTCACAGCATCTCTCACAGCTCAGCTGGTGGACAATCGTTTCCCCACAGAGCTCCTAAACTCTGGAACAGCATTCCAGGGAATATCAGGAGTACAAGCTCAACAAGTGTTTTTAACATGGATCTTCAATCTATATGTGTCTAGAAGTATCGCGGCTCATTTTCTCCTGTGTTCTGTAACTGTGCTGTTATTTTGTGGTATGTTTTACCGTAAAACCTTGAGATGTTTTTAACCAAAGTGGAATTCATACATTTTAGTTTGGCTGAGCTGGAGCTGTCGAGGTAATGGGGGGAGGGGGGGGCTGTTGTTAACTGTAAGGATCAAAGATCAAAGTAATAAAGTCACACTTTGTTTATGACCCCTTTGAAGTCCAAAGGTCACCTGACACAGACTAAACACAGAACATTGTGGCAAAAAAACAAACCTCACTGTTACTGAACAGTTTTGATGGAGACTTTTATACATTCAATATAACATATGTATCAATACTTTCAATGAATACCTGAATAGGATGATGGAGGATAGCACACTGAAAACCTTTGGAAAACAGTGTGACTGCATCAGCTGGAGAGAGATTATTAATATCTGCAAACATTTTCAGCTGTTATTAATTACATAACTTAGTCAAATCCTATCTTTTATATTTTGCAGGTGAAATGAATTTATTACTGTTCTTTGTGCTGCTTCTGGCTGCTGGACTTCAAGGTAACAGCACTAAAATAATTACTGTACACAGAAAATTAATTTCACAATGAATTACCATATGATATCCTCATAACCTTATGGTGTTAAAATAATTTTTAGTTTATTTTTTAACATTTAAAATACAGATCCCTGAAAATCCTTTTGTAAAAGTTTGCACACTTACTGTCTTTGTTTCCCTGACTCAGTGACCTGTACATTGTGACATGTATTAATTCTTGATAAAATACTGTAAAGATCATTTGTAAGAAGCTGTTGATGTTAAATTTTTTTCTCATAAGTTAATGTAAAATTGTTCATCTTACTGATCTGTCTGATCCAGGTCTCCATGTTGAAGGCCCCTCCAGTCCTCTGGTGGTCCCGCTGGGGGGCGCTGTGCTGCTGCCGTGTTCTGCTCAGGACCCCCTCCCTCTGGAGGGTCTCAGAGTGGAATGGAGCAGAACAGACTCAGAGTCTGTAGTGAACGTTTTCCAGCAGAAAGAAATCAGAGCAGAGCTGCAGAGTCAGAGCTTCAGGGGCCGAGCCGACTTCTTCCCAGAGGAGATATCGAGAGGGAACTTCTCCATCTTACTCAGTGACGTCACACCAGAAGATGCTGGAGTTTACAGGTGTGGAGTTTCCTCCAGTCAGGGCTACAGAGAGACCACAGTGGAGATTAAACTCAGTGGTGGGTAACTATGGTCTGTTTAATAATAGGTTACCTGCTCTGTGGGGGTCCTGACTATTGAAGAACAGGGTGACAAAGTATGTAGAGAAACAGAGTCTTTGTAATTTTCTGTTAATAATGTTTTCTGCTTTTGTGATGCTGAAAAATGAATAATTTAAAAGCTGTTTTGATTGGTCATCAAATAAACAAAAGGATGGTCTCTGAAATTTGCATGGTACTTTAAATACATGTTGTTGATGCCAAAAGGGAAATTTTGGTGCTACAGTTACAGAAAAACACAGAACATTACACACACTGAATAAACACACATTATTACACGCAGTAAACAGATTTACACAAACAGTGCAGAGTCATCAGTGCAAAAACATTCACATTCAGTGGTGTGTGAGAGGTGTAGGGGGCATTGACTTAACGGGATACTGGGCATTCTTCATTCTGAGAGGTTAAAGATGCATGGAAGGAACATGATGGCGGAAAGAAACCCAATACTTCCTTCTTTATCTCCCCCAGCAGACGATCTCAGATAAAAGAACACTGGCCAGAACAGACTGAGAGAAATCATCCAGCAGCCTGTTGCATATATAAGCGACATGAGTCTCTGTAGAAAGAAGATCCTGCTCTGGACTTTTCTCTACAGAGTGTTCGTATTATCTGTGCAGTCCAGTCGTTTATTCACGTAGACCTCAGGATACTTATTGTACTAATAGTTGGCCTCAATGTTCAGATTGTCCATGATCCAGGGGACTGTTAGTGCATCAGAGCTTGTTTCTCAGTCAGAGAAGAAATTATATACTGAATGTTGTTGAAGGTACTGAAGAAACCCGAAGAACATGATTCTGACTGTGACTAATGCTTTGTCCAGGTGTAGGTGGGCTCTGCAGAGCCTGTAGATCAGAGCATCATCCACAGGTATGTGAGTCTGCAAGGCAAACTGAAAGGGGACCTGATGGTTCAAAACCAGAGATTGGAGCTGTTTCAGGACCAGCCTCTAAAAGGCCTTGAAGATGTCAATAGTTCTGTAGTCCTTGAGGGTGTCCTGTCAGTAGGGACAATTCCATCCACCATGCAAATTTTGAAAATGAAAAAAAAAAAATCTGAATGGAAAAGCATGAAATCTAAAAAAACTTATTTTATTGCTAAACAAATATTGCAAAAACAGTTTTTACACTAGGATAAGGTGGAAAAGTTGATTACTGCTAAAGCTGAAATATGAAAAAGAATGATGGAAAAGAATTACCCAAAAAAAAAGACGATAATGTATTAAGCCAATTGAGAATGACTCACCCTAAAGGTGGTCCAATTATAGCGCATAGCCTTTCAAAGGTTGTTTTTCACATTTTGAAAAGCCTGTGTGATGTGATGGTAAGAGAGAGGACCCAAGCACAGAGAGAAAAACCTGTGTGTTCTGGGTTTTAATTGAATAAAAGAGAAGTTAAGTAGATGGAAAATGACACACAAAGGAGACACTGAAAATGGCAAACTCAAAGCAGAAATAAGGGGAGAATTAGTTTGAGTTTATTGATTTACTCTAGCAGCTTTTTTTTCATTTCTCTTTTACAGCTCTTGTTTCTTTTCTCTGTTCCTCTGTTAATACCCTATCGGTCACCCCTCTACATACTCTCCTTGGCAGAGAGCCAGAGCTGTTGGCCTGGGCAGAAACTCTGCACCTCATGGCGCTTGTGTTCAGCCACCTGTTTCCTGGTCTTGGTAGTGGCCTGAAGGGCAGTATCAGTCATTTTCCATGCTGCACAGCAGCAGCTCACAAACCTTTCCGAGGTGGGGACCCCCACCTTCTGTTCCTGTTCAGCAAACATGGGTGAAGAGTACCTGAACTGGCATTCGAAACATGACATACATTCGAAGGGTGACATTCCCAGTGATGAATGCCAGGGGGTGTTATGGGTGTACTCCACCCAAGACAAGAACTCCGCCCAGGAGGATGGGTTGGTCGGAGGTCAAACACCACAGAATCTGCCCAAGGTCTTGGATGATGCATTCTGTCTGGCCATTGGACTCTGGGTGAATGCCAAAGGAAAGGCTCATGTAGGGCCCCTGGATACCAGATCAGTGGGCATGCCAAGCTCAGCAGTCTCCTTGGCAGAGGGGAGTTTGGTAAATGCCACAAACTTGCATGCCTTGGGGAAATGGTCCACTGGTACCAGGATGACAATATAGCCTTTGGACAGGGGCAAGCCCATCACAAAGTCAAGGGCCTGCGCTTGCTCTCTCACAGGTGGCCTGTCACCCTCCTAAAGCAAGGCTACACCTCCACTTCCATAAAGAACATGATGCTGAATGTGAGCGCCTTCGTGAGGCACGTCAAGACTTTCCACCCGGAGATGGCCGGCCTGAGCAGCGAGCAATATGACCGCATCCTACTCCAACTTGCAAAGCTCCAGAAGGACAACTCCAGGAGGATTAAGGCCCACCAGCAGGTGGTCAAGTGGAAGAAGTCAAGTGAGTGGATCGCAGCATGCATTAGGCTTTTTTATGGGCCTTTAGTCGTCCTCTCATCCTTGCATTTTTGCCTTCCAGAACTGCTGAGGCCCAGCAGCGATTTGGGGACCTTCATGCACATCACCTCTTACAAGGTCCCCAAGTTGACCGGTCAGTAAACGCCCAGTAAACAAGAGCTCGAGCTCGGCTCTTTTTCAAAGCACCACCCGCGGGTGACTTCTCACGTTTCCGCTCGCCCTCACAGATATGATCCGGAGAAAGCCCCGCACCAAGCTGTACAAGCTTCTGCAGGGCTACCTTGCCGGGTATCTGGCCGTGCTGACTGGCCACCGCCCGGTGGTTCTGGCCAACCTCCAGAAAGACAAGGTGCGGGAGGCGGAGACGGACACCCAAAACCGGGCCTTGATATGGGTAAGAGAGAGGCCTGTTTTCTAGGTTCCATGTCCCCTTTCGGGGGGTTCTCATAGTTGAACACCGAACTGAGAGCCGCGTGGCATCACGCCGGGATGCCTGGCCAGATCAGCTTCGGCCTGATACGGACCGCCATCGCCAACCAGGTGTGCCATCGTGCATGAAATGTGGGTCTGTGGCTGGGCTCCATCATTTCACATGTTACACCCCTGTGCCCAAAAGCTCCACTCTTATATATGCCGTTCACATTCGTATGCATGCAGGCGAGGAGACACCTGCCTGCCAAGGAGCGGAAGCTCGTGTGCGAGGGCATGTGTCATGACATCACCACAGCCGATCGCTTCTACACAGCAGTACCCAACATACAGGACGTGTTCCAGGTCCGGGACCTGCGCATGAAGGCCATGGAACAGGACAGCCTGGAGCTCAGCAACCAGAGTTCGGACAGTGAAGACTCGGACAGCCAGTCATCCACGAGTGACAGCGATTCAGACCAATAGGCTTCAATAAAGTGTTCGAAAAGAGTCACTGGTCCCGTTTTGTCCTTTCTCAAGAGAGAGCTCTCTCATAAGGGTCTAACTGTTCACACGCACCATCTTTCGGGTTTAGGTCACCGAGTCCATCACGGACTTAAAGGCCATAATCATGACAACACTCCCTGCTTGGGGGACAGGGAGCGTGAGGGGGATTAACTGGAGGTCTTGGGGGTCTTGGGGAATGGACTTAGTGCAATTTCTGAAATGTCTGAAATATTTTCTAAGACCATAACAGTGCTTGGCCCCCGACCAAAAACATGCGTTACCACTGCTCCTCAAAATCCTGAAGGCACCCCTCTGGATTTTCCATGCGCATCAGACCCTCCAGACTGTGGTCTGATTTGAATCTGACCCAAAACGGTGCACCTCGGGTGGGTACGTAAGTAGGATGAAGACCCTGGGTGTGCCACCTAGGCAAATATTATGGACTTGAAAATTTCACCCTGCCCCTGGGAGACCATAAAAACTTTGTCCCAAAAAAACAAAAAACCCTGGGAGACCGTAAAAACTTTAGTGCTGAAAACAGCCGGCCACTGGGAGACCATAAAAACTTTGTCCCCAAAAACAAAAAGCAAAAAACCCTGGGAGACTGTAAAAACTTTAACGCTGAAAACAGCCAGCCACTGAGAGACCTATGGACTTTTTAAACACCTTTTCGGTCTGAAAGGGCCACCTGGACGAATTTTTACCACTTTGAACTTCCTTGGGCCTTGGACCCTCCGAGGGGTTTTTTCCAAGTTCCACGGCCCACAGAGTGCCCTATTTTCGGCCTGGCATGGTGGGTCATGCCCCCTGGAGGTGCCACCTAGGCGAATTTTATGGACCCATTTTTCTGAGCCAATTTTTTAACACCGTTTGTCGTTTTTAGCTGGGGAACTTTCAAACTTTACCGGGGCCCTCCCGAACACACCACCACCACCAAAATTCACCAGCTTACATCCAAGACCGACCCCTTCGTCCAGTAAAAACCCCCGGGGTGATACGCATCACCCTTCCTGAGACATCAGCACTTTCCCCCGTTATTTCAATCGCCATTTCAATCAATAGCTCCAGGGATTAACCACCCACCACCACCACCAAACTTGACCGGCCTGCTCTCCTCCTCCACCCGCTTCATCTGATACCTTAGCTGGATCCCCAGTACCCACACACTTCCTAGGCCCCTTTTTCCTCCCTTAACTTCCTTCCTCGGGCTTCTTCGGATTCCCCACTCCCACCCATCCGGGGCTATGGGCCTCCAGGAACCCGGCGCACCATCCGAACCTGTTTGGCCCACACTTAAGCACATTAAACCCCTTAATACCGCCGCTACAGAGAACCAGGCCACTGGGAGACCAGGAAAACTTGGAACTTGGAGCTGCAACCTAGGCGAACCACGGCCACTGGGAGACCCACGGGTCCTCCAAAATGGGGGGCTTTGGTTTTGCCCACTCCGGCCGCAGCGCAGAGCCCCACATTGGAGTGGACAAATGGTTGTACCGGGGGGATGACTTTCAATGGATTGCAGCGAAGGAGCTGCTCTACCACTCACGACACCCTGGCACAGAATCAGGTTGTTTACGAGTCATTTAGCACCGGGTTCCACACAAACTTGCA